AAAGTAAGCAGTGGCAATACTGTTCAAAACAGAGCATTTTATCTCCACGCATGAGAGTGCTGTCAGCCGAAAAAATGGAAGATATTTAGTTATCTTTCAGTTTTAATTAACAAAGTCCTTTCTATGAAAGCAATGTGTTGCTGCTGCTAGAAGTAAAATTATTTTATCTTCCTCACATCACCGTGTTGCTATTCAGTAAAGCCTAAGATACTTTCATATTTAACCTGGAAGGTTACTGAATAATAAACTAAGCATTTTAAAAGCAACAAGCGCTGTTCTTGAGAACATTTTTTCTGATGTGATTGATTTAAGTAAACATGTTAAAATCATGACATGTTTAAATGAAGTATTCAATATTTTTATGAAATAGTATTAGCTGACTCATTAAAATCATTATGAACTTTTTCTTTTCTACGACAACTATATTATGCAGCTTGACGTAAAAGCAGTTGGTTTTTTTTTAAAAAATAATATAGCAAATATAAATATGCTTTTTTTTTTAGATATATTGTGATTTTGCTGTTGAACAAATTTTATATGGTGTAAGTTAGATGAACGTAATACTTAATACATAAAATTAACACATAAAAACTTAATTATGAAAAAAATTGTTAGCCATCTTACTAAGAAAATTGAATACTGATATAAAAAACTGGTAAAAAAATAAAAAGAATATAAAAAACATCTGCCAACACTTAACACTGCATCTAGAGTTCTAAATATATGCTGCTATTCAGCTTTTAAAAATTTTTTGATTTTGGTATTGAGCTGTATGTGGCATAAGTATGAAGAAAACGATGCTTAATAATAAAGCTAAAAAGACAAAAAAGAAAAGATTAGCAAGAATAAGTATAACAGCAGACTGGTAGACTGCGTGCTCAGCAAGAGCATAAACAACCTTAACAAACCCTTTTGGTTGACCATTAAAATCCAAAACCTTTTTTTTTTTTTTTTTTTCTATTTTACCCTTTTATTTCTTCTCTCTCTCTCTTTTTTATTTTTTTGGATACTGTAAATTTTTGGGGGGGCCCACAAGAATATTTATTCCATAGGGGCCCAAGAGTTCTAGTTACACCACTGATCTGATGACAATGCGGTTAATGTTTAAATGCAAAATGGATAATTATTTATTATATTATCACAGATCTATTAAACTGCGTAAAATCGCTAAAAGAGGTATTGAGTGCTCTGCCAAAATATATTTGCTACAAGATTTGAATTTGACAGATAAGGAATGTATCCTAAAACATGTTTTAAGTCAAAAGTTTGAAAATTGATGGCTAAATGTAAGTATAAAATTATGCACGTTAAAATATTTGTGATTAGGCACATAGGACAGGTTAAGCTTTTATTAAATAGAGTAAGGCATGCAAAGGCTATATGCCTAAAAGGAGAGATGTCATCGTGGAGGGATTTCGAAGAAAAATTTACCTTTGAGTGGGTATTAAAAATAATGCATGTAATTTTCATTCAAATTATATTTATACAAATTTCTTATGTAAAAATTTTGGGTATATGTTAAATTATGTAAATTACTTTACTCAAAAAATATAGCGAATGCACAGAAATTAAAGATTTGCACATGCCGAAAATGAAAAATATGAAACATGTATGGGTATTTATGCATATGCTTGCAAAAGTCATGTATCTGCCTTTAACAAAATACATAAATATTTATTAAATTATTCATAAATGTATTTGAAATGAACGATTTATTCATTCATAAACTCCTGTTAAAGTTACTGTGAGGAAATCTAATTATTAAATGTATCTAAATTTATAATGATTCCATGAGATGTGTACTTAAGGAAGTAATAAAGAAGAGTTTTAGAATATGTATTGCTAAAACTAAGGGTAAAAAAATCTGATAAGTATCATTAAAAGAATTATTCCCTTATATTTTATAACAACTCATTTACAAGTTTTGGTTGATCTTTACAATATGGTAACTGGTAGTTTGGCGACATTTTGGAGGCGATAAAGGTTACTACCTGGGACTTTGGTAATAATGTGAGCAGTACTCACGTCCGATTACGCATTATTTTGTGTGAGGGAAATGAGAGATCATGGGATATGTCATGTGATATTAATGGACGAATTACAGTTCTTTAATCGGAAAAAGGGGAGGAAATCGGGAAAAAATCTGGAAATTTTGTATTTGGCTTTATTCTGTGTTGTGTGAAACAGTGTTCGTGAATTTTGGATCCATGGCTGTAACTAAAGTGAATTCGAAATGGGTATTTATGTATGTATTAATTTAAGTATGTGCTCATTTATATTTTAGTAGTTTTTGAATTAATTATATTTTAATTAAATGGTTATTTTGTGAATTTATGTTTGTAGGAATTTGGTATACGTTTAGTTTGAAGTAAACGTGCATGGAAATAATTTAAATATCTGAAACTAAGTATTTGTAATGTTTGCGGTTGAATTCGTTGGTGACGTGTATAATGTAATAGATGATTTAGAGGTAAAAAGTTTTTGGATATTTTATTTTTTTATATGTGGAAATTTTCATATTGGAAAGGGTAAATACTTTTTCGCGATCAGGTAATTTCATATATGTTCTTTTTACCAGGTTTAAAAGATTGAGAAAATTGTCAGTATTTCGTGTGAATTTTTTCTAATTTATGAGAAAAAAGCAGTGTACATGGATATAGTGAAGAGTGTGCGCAATGCCATTTTTGTGCAATTCTGGGATGTTTAAGTAAAAATAAGTCGACGTGTACATGGTTTATGTGTATGTGTTATTTTGAAAAACGCAGTATGGTATTGTGCACTTTTTCCCAATTTTGCAGTGAATATTTGTCATGATTAAGCAGTTTTGTTAGATAAAATTTGTAGCATAAGTGTAATTCGGCTAGTAGATTGTTGGAAGAAGTGTTCAGTAGATAAAAAGAAAAGAAACATGTCTTTACTTCGTGAAGACAAAATGGCGGCGGGGAAAAAAAAAAAAATAGAGGGTTGCTGTAAGAGAGTTGGTCGCCAAATTTTCGCCAAAAAAACGCCAAGTTACCATAATGTAAAGATCAACCCAAGTTTTAAATAATATTTTTAAAAAATCCTTTTTTATTCCCTTTCAGAAATATTTAGAGAAAGTTAAGTACTTTTTAATGCATTTCACTATTGAAATAAAAAGTCCTCTAATTTTAAATGGCCCGAATAGAGCATTAATTATAAATTGACTTTGATTTTTCCATTTAAAAGAGGCCTCAGAAGCTAAAAAAATCATGTCATATCTGAGAAAGTATTTTAGGAAGAAGCTCTATAAATAGAAAAGAAATAATACATATTATTATTAATATATAAAATATATTTATTAATAATAAACTTTGATCTTAATTTTTGTTATTCTTAACCAAATAAAATTGAATTACATTCAATTTTTTTCCAATGTAATTCAGGAAAACTTGTGAAAATACTTCATTCAAATTAAAGTGTTCTGTGAAAAGTATAGTATTTATTTCCATTCAGAATGAAATGTTGTTTAAATATGTATTCTTTCCATATACTTAGGACTCTGAAATATATACATTTATATGTATATTTACTACATAATTACAAAATATTTACATCTGATCGTGTCAAAACCCATTGCTCTTAATGGTAAATCACCCAATGTTTTGATCACCACAAACGGATTGCCAGTGCTTCAAAGCAGTGTATGGGGAAAAACTGATTAGGGCCACTCCATCTTAATTCCTACCTCCATGGTTTTCCTCCAAGTGTAATGTGAATACAAGCGAGTTTCCTTTAAAAAGTCTTTCACAAAGACATCCATTTCCCAAAAAAGGATAACCTTTGTGTATTTTGCCATACTCAAAAACCTAACCTAACCTGGGATTATTTGAAATTTTCCCAAATGTAAAATATTTGACTTATATTCTAGAAAATAAAACTATGACAACATAAATTTTTCAGTAGCAATTTCAAAATAAATAGACTCCAGACTTAATACTTAAGCACATTTACATGCTAGAAAGAGCTTACATAATGTGATGAATAACACTTTATACTTCACTAATAAGACAGTTAAAAAATCTTTACACACTTTATTTCACTAATAAGACACTTTAACACACACTTTACTTCGCTAATAAGACAGTTTAAGAATTCATGCTCTGATATCTGTCTGAAGAAACAATAAGAGCTAGAATTGCAACAACAAATGTATAACTGATTCATATTAGCATTCGTAGTTATTACGCAAATTATTATAATATGCAAAAGATTATTAAAAATTATTCTTCTTTATGAGTATGTGCAATTCTTAAAAACGCGCCAAGCAGTGGGTGATTATTAAAAATTATTTCTTATACGAAGAATTTTAGGGTAAAGTGCAGAATCGCCCACTTATTTGTTTGGCACTTTTTACAAGAGTAAGAAAAATTGGATTTTTGTCAATTTTCTTTGACTTTTTAAGTGAAAAATAGGTTGATGTGTACATGGATAAAGTCATGGGGGGTGCACAATGTCATTTTTGTGCAATTCTGGGATGTTTTTTTTAAGTGAAAATAGGCCAATGTGTACATGGATACCGAGTATGTGCAATTCTTAAAAACGCGCCAAGCAGTGGGTGATTCTACACTTTCCCCGAATCTTAAACCAAACACTTTTATAAAAATTATTATCCAAAAAAGGAGTACAGTATTCTTCGTAATAAATAAAATCATTACGGGCTAATAAATTGTTTTTTACATAACGGCTAATAAGCTTCAGTCTTCTTTTACAACAAAATGTCAAACTGAATGAACCTTCTTGCATGTAGACCCGTCAGCCGGTTGATGAATTAATTAAAATTTTTTTATACATTAAAAATTTGTAACGAAATTTTTCAAAATATTTCAATTGTACAATCAATATATATATACATATTAATCAATATATATACAGTCATAATTATAACATAAACCCAATACAAACATCACATACAACTCATTTCAGTTTTCAGTCAACTAATGGAAATTCCAACTGGATATGACCAGAATCTAAATAATTACCTCTTACATACTTAAGACGACTCTTAACCTCATGGATGTAGTTTTAGAATGCAGCATATATATAAAAGTACTATACGCCTGCGAAATAATGTGTGTTTTTCAACATAACTAAAAAAACAAACAAATAATTTGTTATTATTGACAATTCGTTGTAATGCCAAACTGTTAAGTGAAACTGCGGGATAAGCTCTAACTCCTAAACTTTAAATCAAGTTAATTATTTTATGTACTTGTTTTCTAATCTACTTTTAATGTATCTAATTAGATTTAATATTCTATTCAATAACTAACTGCCTGCTTTTTATTTCCAATTTTATTCAGCGCCAGAAAATTTACTTTTAAATCCGAATTTTGTATTTTTACATTTAATTATACTAATTTCTCAATTCTTGAAGCTCTCTAACAATGGATTTAATTTCTTGATATATCTGAAGACAATTTTATTATGCATTTCTAAGCAATTATTTCGAAGGTTTCAATGTGTCTGACATATTTCAGTTTTGAAGATTCTGTCTTCACATTTGGCCACGTCATTGTCGAATCATATGGTATGGGTTCGAGAAGTGATTTTCCGTATCGGGTACGTAAATAGTTAACAAAGCTGTTTTGCATTTAAAATGAAACTATTCAGATGAGGCTAGTGTTTACCGTGATTGGAATATAAATAATGTGTAAATTTAATTAAAGAGATAAACATTGTTATCATGACATATGATATTTCAGTTTATTTTGAAATTTTAAATAATAGTTAAAATCAGCCTCATATTGTCATTTTTTATCATTATGATTTGTCTGAAGTTATTACAGTTGCATATGTTTCGGTAGATGCTTTATGTTAATTTGCCATGTTATAAATATCGCTTGTACTCAGAAACCGGCATAAAAAAAACATTTATAAACACAGAAATTTTAAACTTAATGAAACATGCATAAATTGAAAACTGCGATAAATCTGACAGCATAATAATCATTATACTTTTTTCGGAAGAGAAGTCATCCATTCTTGCTGTTGTTAAGTGACATTAAAATTTGCCAAGTAACTTTGTACACAGTATTAATAGAAAGTGTTCATTTTGTTAAAGATTTTAGGAAAAAAGTATGAAGCAGTTTTAAAGCAATAACATTTGTACACTTTTACAAGACATATTTTCGTAGTTTTCATGTAATGTCATTTCATAAATCAATATTAAAATTTTATATTAATATAGTCAAAACATCATCTCTGAGTTAAAAGAATGACATACAAAATTCAAATTAATAGTATTGATAGTATTACAAAAAAAAAAAAAAAAAAAAAAAAGGGAAACAAGACCCAGATTATTTTTGGGCGATAAACCATCTCCCCCCTCTAGTCATTAGTATAGTAGGAAAAATAATAACTTGGTTTGATTCTGAATATCAAAATATTGCTAAGCTGTTCTGTCAAAATATCCCAAAATTTTGCATGACATTTTTATAGTTTCATTCTCCTTTCCCATTAATCAACAACATGATCTAAGATCTTGGGCAAACCCAGAATTTATAGTGATGCTCAGAAAAGAATTGGAGGGATAGCTTGGGTAGAAAAATCTGTAGCCATAGGTACAATCTTCTTTCAGGGAACCCATTGCATGTTGTTGTTAGAAAAAGGTATTATTATGTGGAATTAGGATAATTTTAGGATCCTTTTAAAAATCTGAATCTTAGCTGTTTTGAGGCTTTATTTATAGGGGGAAAGAGGTCCGTTATAGAAAAGTAGAAGGTTCCTGGAACATATTACTTCCTAAAAGGAAGAAACTTGCAGAGGGCACACTTAATTAGACTGCAGTCAGTTATAAATTCTAATAGATCATCTTCAGTATTGCATTGCTACCAACTCTACTGGCTTTATCCAAAGAATGTTTTTTTTTTTACCACGTCTTTTGTTAGATAACCAAATTTCCCAATTTTTAATTTTTAGCGTTGCAGTGTTTTTCAGCAATAAAATTAATTGTGCAAACAAATTTCATACAGTTTAAGCTTTATTGTTGAAGTTAAATTATTCAAATTCCATTCCCCAACCCCTGGCGATTTTCAACATAATTTTTCTTATGAAATTTTATTTGATCTGAATTGTCTTAATCTATTGTTGACATTTATAGAATTTTATATGAATCTTCAACCAAATGTTTAAACAGTGAATATTTGTATATTTAGTTTTGTTTTAATCAACATGTGGAATCATTAGGCTCATCTTGGAATGGAAAGCAAGAAAAATATATCATACCTTTACTGGAATTCAAACTTTCACACCTCCACTTAGTAGTCAAATGTGCCTCTAACTACAAAAGTACAGGGGTCTTTAGACCTACTCACCAGATTCTGGTGCTGATGAATTATCATCCACCACATTTTAGTTTACGCCACTGTAGAGCAATTTTTTTTTTTATTTTTTAGAGGCAAGAGATATTATTTAGGGGCAAAGCCCTCTCTGGTATTTGAACTTCGGATCTCCTCATTGCTCATGGGATGTGCTTCCAATTACATCATGAAGGCTTAGGGTTAAGGAGTGAGAAAGTGTCTTTGGTAGTTACATATTATTATCCTGTCAACTGTAAAAGCTGGCTAACATTGAAACATGAAAATTGGCAGAGATCCCACCAAAGCTGTATCAGCTTTCTCCTATTTTGATAGGCATTCTGATTTCACTGGAAGTAATGTTTAGATCGCTTTGAGTACAAACTTTCCACAGGTAATTGTTCCAATCTATTACTGTTTTATTGACCATATTTATCTGACTATATCATGGCTATAATTATACACATTTTTTTTTTTTTTTTTTTTTTTTTAATACTGTAATTTTAGAGGTAATCTACTTCTTCCAGTCCTTGTCTTTTGCAAAGGCCTTGACAAGAATGTTGATTTGATGCATTTCTGCATTGTCCAGACTCAAGCCTTCGTGGTTACCAACTTGTGCATATGCATTTCTTCTAGCTTCGCATTTAAAATGTAACAATTTTCCATTCATTCTCATAGTTTACATTTGTTATTGAAATTTTTTATGAACAATGGGGTTATAGTGTTTTTCAATCTGGTCATATGCATGTCTTCTGTGCATATGCATGTCAACCCTAAGCCTTCATGATGTAATTGGAAGCACATCCCATGAGCAATGAGGAGATCCGAAGTTCAAATACCAGAGAGGACTTTGCCCCTAAATAACATCTCTTGCCTCTAAAAAATTAAAAAAAAAACAAAAAAATGCTCTACAGTGGCATAAACTAAAATGTGGTGGATGATAATTCATCAGCACCAGGATCTGGTGAGTAGGTCTAAAGACCCCTCTACTTTTGATTTTAAAGTATTATGTTTTTTCAATCACGCTTGTAGTTCATGTATTTTGCGCTAATAAAAATGTTTACACTTAATATAAATGATAAGATATTTTATCAAAAGAAAGAATTTGTGAAAACAGGCATACTATGCAATTATATGGTGGGGAAAAAAATCATTTGACGTTGCAATATCAGCAGCATGTCATGCTTAGAAAGTAGAATACTTGTAGAAATCAATAAAATGACGGTACAAAAAGCACAAAAGTAGGACTCGTTGTTATTTGGAATCCTACCTAGCAGAGTTCATGTTCAAGCACCAAGTCAACCATGATAATGAATTTGAGGCATTATTAACCCACGAGCACACGCGGTGGGTATGTCATACCCATGTGTATTTTTCTTTTTGTATATTTCTCGCCCATTATTTCATCAAAGGTCGAAACTTGGTGTAGCTGAGTTCAAGGTCACATACTTAAATGGGGGAAATTCCTAAGGTGGCAAGTGCAACGGTTTTTTAGGAACAGCATTGCTCGGGCATGTCATACCCGTGCGTGTACTCGAGTTTCTCAGTGAGTCACTTCGCACTTCTCGTTTTCAAGCTTTTAGTATAGGTTTTTCTTGAAGTGTAAGCATGGCACCGTATATTCCTTATGATGAAGAGATGGAAAGATTGAGAAATCTCCTTGAAACAGTTTCTTCTGATGAGGATTCATTTAGTGAAGAAGAGGAAGATGTTGATGACGAAGAATATAATAGTAATCATGATTCATCCATAGAGAGTAGTGATTCAGGTACAGAAACAGAAAATGAAACTCTTGAATGTAGCAATGAGTTTTATGTTGGGAAAAAATGGAGTAAAATGGAGTAAAAACAAACAAAATAAATTCCGGACTAATGTTAGAATTGGCGCCAAAAATATTATAGCTAAACTCCCTGGAAATACAAAGTATTCTAAAGACGTTCTCAACACCATTTAGAGTCCTTGTCATTGCTTATCGATGAAGATAGTATGTTAAAACATGTAGTTGATAATAACAAATATTTATATTGATTCAGTACGAGAAAATTTCACTCGTAAGCAGGATGAGTACTTTTCTCAAAGCCTTAGGGATGCAGCTAATAGAAAATGTTCAAAATGAACGACGGCGAGCATATGTAGTTCTTGATTCTGGACAAACACTGACCACCGATGAACATGTTAACAATGAACTGTACCCCCAAAAACCGAAAATGACTTACAAGAGGTGTACAGAGTGCTCCAAGAAAAAAGATAGAAAGACTACATTCATTTGTGAAAATTGTAGCAAAAGTATATGTATAGAACATATGACCTCATTTTGTAAACAATGTTCAAGAAGTGAGTAAATAATTTTTCCTCTCCTTATTGTTTCCTATTTTGTCTAAAATGAAGTATTAACTTGGTTTTACATTTAATTTCTTTTAAAAAACGATTAATTTTTTTTTGACAAATTTTTAATTACAATTTTTTTATTCGGGTATAACATACCCGGCGCGTGTTCTCGTGTTCGTCGGATCGGTGCGTGTGCTCGCGGGTTAATAGCAGTTGCTGAACTTTGGTCACCAGAAAGAGTTTATAAAAAATGAATTTTCTATATGTATGATATTTTTGCAATAAATTGCTAACTAAATTGTGTACTATAATAGATTAAATACTTTAAAATTATGATTTCATTTAAAAATAATAAGCATAATAAGTATTTTACAATAAAAAGCTGTTATATTATGACCATTATGAAAAACCAGTTAGATTATTTTTGTTTCTTGCACATGCACAAATTGGTAACCATTTATTTCTCACTAGAGTTTGGAACGAGCTTAGGCTCGAGCTTGATACTCGATAATTTTTAGTCATTTTCGAGTACTTGATACTCGAATCAAGCCCATCAGGCTTTCGTGCTCTAATGTTTTTTGTTCTGCATTTTATTTTTAACCCTTTGCGCTCAAGGCGCTTTTCTGTGCACACCGTCCATTCTGAAGGTTCAGTCTCTTCTGTACAATCACTTTGCATTCTAGTTTCACTATCGATTATTCGGATTTTTCGTCTTCTTGCTCCTCTAACATCGTCACTATCTTTATCACTTCCGTCTTCGTTCTCATGGGCAAGCTGTCTATGTAGTGATGTACCGTAATTTCCGGAAGAAACGCCGCAGCGTTTACATGCTTAAAACTTAAATTTTCAGTGGGTGCGGCGTTTAGGTGCACTAAAAATAAAATATTTCCTATGATGGTCATTGTACATAGTTTGGATGGCCTTGTCATTGTGCAT